TCATCAGAAATCAGATTCTGACTTCCTTTGTTTTAAATTTTATATATAGAGTTTCCATGCAAGTGAATTCTTTCATCAGAAATCAGATTCTGACTACCTCATACCGACAGGACTGTAACAGTAGGAGGGGTGGTTGTTGGCGTGAGAAGGAGTGTATGAGTAGGTTAATCGTGTTTGTATAAGGGAAATTACCAATATAACAAAATGACAAGACAATAAAGGTTAAGTGAAACGTCACTAATATGCTGACACATAGTTTCTAATGGTTACTAATGGAATAACTGATAAGATTTCAGCGGACATGTCGGTACAAATTTCAGGTTTGATCATGACTGATGTTTTTCGGTTCCTTAATCATTCCAAGTAGTCTATGTACGACTTGTAATTGAGTAATTTTACATGATTGATAATGCATCTTTGAAATCAAAGAATATTGAAAAAAAAATGTCTTCCTCCCTTGCAAACAGCTTGATGCACTATCTCCCTTCAACCCTTTGAGCGAAATGCGGCAAAAGGAAGGAAAATCCACAAATGAAAGGCTTTCATAAAAATTCTCGTAGATGATGGACTCCCGTGAAAAACATCGGCGTGCGTGTAAACGAGGTGGAGGTAGGGGTGCAGAGACAGCCAGGAGGTTTGCCTAGAAGCAGCCACCCTTGAAAGAGTGCGTAATAACTCACTGATCGAAATGTCAATCCGTTTTCTTACATTTATTCCTATTCCAAGGCAAGGATTCAAGAATCCCTTAATCCAAATCAAGGAACTATTCATACCTTGTCCTCTGTTCTTGGAGCAGAAGCTATTTGTTTGGCTTTACATCCGTCCCAAGGTATTTCTCTTGTTTCTCTTGCTATTGAAATATCTTCAATTTTTATGCATAATTGTATATGATGTTTGGCGTTGGAGTTCAATCTATTGAATACTAAATGTAGAAGCAAACAGCCTTTTCTAAAGTAACTAAGAACGCCCCAATAGCCCAAAGCTGCAGCACGGCCCAATAACTCCAATTCAACTCAAAAACATGGTTGAAGTTATTGGTATCCCACAACTTTGAACTTATAAGAACCTCACATATCTACTTTACTATCCATGCGGGACAGGTTGTTACAAGTGATAACCTTTTCTTATTATTGTCACTGTTGTTTGGCTGCAAGATTTTATGATTGTTGGAAACCATATTACTTCAACCACATTAGTGAAAACAAGACCATACACAAAATGAGGGAATTAACAAAAAATGATCACTAACCTTGAAGGACACGTTAAGGTCATTCTACTCCTGCCAAAGTTTCCTGGGACGGGTCCCATGTCGGTAACCTCAGCTCGTCTGTGAGAAAGTGCTTCCATTACCAACCCCACATGCTCTTCATTCACCTGAAATCAATAATCGTACAAGACATGAATGTGAAGCTAATATCATCATTAGAAGGGAAATGGTAAATCTATGAGTGCATCTGCTTTCCCACCTCAATAGTTACTTCCTCAATCGGCTCTAGCTTCACACCATTCTCAAATTTGTACCTGACACGATGGTAGAAATTGATCAGAAAAAAATAGAAACTTAAAAAAATGACGATAGAAATTGATCAGAAAAAATGAAAAACTGCAGCAGCAAATCATGGTGGTCCAGTTGTAATGTTGCCGGGTTGTTGGGTCAACACACATGCAATTAAACACCAACAATAGGCAGGTCAGAGACACAAGTGTAAGCAGCAGCGAGATGCTTAATTTTATGATCTATTTTTTCAATTTATCAATCTGTTCAACGAACAACATATAAGGCTTCTCCGGTTTTCCCGTATTTTGGGTTCTTTTTCGAAGCAAAGTCTTTCACCTGTAGGCTTTGTCTCACTTTCACCAACAGTGTCTGCTAAATCGTTAACTAGTAGCTTGTAACACCCCAATTCCTACTTTGGGTGTCGTTACCTTCTTATTGATACTACTAAGTCTTGTATATGAACTTGAAATTTAACTTTATATATAAAACTTAGCTTATGATTACACAGAGTTCAAATACTAGCAGAAACTTAACACAATAGCTTATAATACAACAAAATTTTGCTATTGATTAGAACAATACTTCATCATGCTATCCTTCTTTACTCCTTCCTGAGATGCATACATGAGATACTTAAGCTAAGAGCTTAGTAAGTAGTTATGGTTTCATGAATAAACAATTTTCATGATGCTTAACATTTTGCAAATAGTTTCGCTAAGACTCTTGATCATGAACAAAAATAATCTTTTTATCATGCATTAACATTCTTTTGAGATCTCACTTGAAACATGTAAGTATGCCATACCTATCTTGAGGTTTGCTAACCCCCCGGGTTCATAAAGGCTGCCCCATAAAGGCTGTAATATTCAGGTTTTGAGTTATGAGTTAAGATTTTGGATTTTATATATATATGTATATATATATGTATATATATAT